TGTTATATTTAGGCATTTTAAGGAACTTAGCAGCTATAAGTAGCATTCTTTTCTCCTCGAATCTTAAAAAAAAAAATCCTATTTACTGCAATGTTCAAGTGAATGTTCTTCAGGTAGTTTACCATCATCTAAAGACCCCCAAAGAGCACAAGGGTTTAGTTTAAAATGATACATGAACTCAGAGAATCATTGAGGAACTTCATACAGAAGTTCGATAAGGAAATGCTTGATATCAAGAACCTAAACCAGTAATTACCCAAGTAGCCTTGACTAAAGGATTAAGAAAGGTGTTTTTAGATTTACGCTCGACTTATAACATCCAAAGACATGGTAGAGCTGTTGAAACTTACAAACAATCATGCCAATGTTGAGGAGTACAATCGAGTGGCTGAACCCACCAAGACCACTCCATGTCATGAGACTATCACAAGAAGAAACTTCCATCAATGGAGGGATTAAAAAGAATCATCCCTATGAAAGGAGAAACCTACAATTGAATTTCTAGTGTAGTTACAAGTGCTCTAGTCCATATGGGATACCCATCCAACCAAAGCCTATGAGGATAGTGACACCCCAGCACCAATGATTGAGGAGTACAAAAAGGTTACTCGCTGACCCTAAACTTATCCAACTTAAACTTTGCTAAGAGTATCTATGCTCAAACTTTTAAAGGCCATACTGAATAAAGAATCCTTTAGTCGCCCGCCATCAATGAAGATAAATAGTGCTTAGGATGCTTCATGATACTGCGCATTCCATAAAGACCATGAACATGACATTGAAGAGTGCCATCATCTGTGGAACTTAGTTCAAATTTCTTCGAGGTAGAGAAAATCAAGCAGTTCATTTTTACCAACCTAGAGCAAAAAGTGCCAATGAACCTAAATCAACCAAAGCCATTCACATCGTCAGAATAGTGCCCTCCATTATGGGTTCGGTCAAACCTCCCATTCTTATTCTTATGAAATATCTATCGTGTCTCGTTCCTGTCGCCAACCTCCTTTCTCGCTCCCTTTGTCCTCCAAACTCTGTAGCCTACTGACTACGGTCCTCAGACCATAGTCGCTTGACTACAGTACCTCCAACCTCCATCATCAAACTATGACCCTCCGGCCTTCATCGCCAACTAATTACGGTCCTCAAACCATAATCACCCAACTATATATGGCCCCTCCAACCTCTGTCCCCTGGCTATGATTTCTCCGACCTCTGTTGCTTGCTAACTACTGCACAATAAATCTTGTCATTTGTATGGTTCATATTATATATTACATATCTTATCGTTTATGCTTTAATAAATAAAATTTATCAATTGAGTTTGCACGACATATTTATTTATTAATTTTCTCCTTGATTAGTGGAACATCATCATTTGAGTAAATTCTTAATCTTAATTAAAATATTAAATTTACATTGTTATTGTAATTAATAGTTTTATATATTTTTCTAAATTAATAGTGTAAAAATAAATATAATAATTTTGAGCATTTTCAACCAAGAAAATTGATCATAGTATTCCTGAGGCAATTTAGTACTCATCCACTACCTAACCTTTCTATCTTCAATTTAAGCAACATCTCAATATTAATAAAAATATTAAATTTCTATTGTTATTGTAATTAATAGAGTTTTATTTATTTTTTTTATATTTATAGTGATTTTAATATATTTCATAACAGACGAAGTGAAATTAAATTTGAAAATTATGATTGAGAATTTGAGACCACGGCGAAACCAATTGCTCCTTGGAAGAAGTTTCTTTTGGAGATTTAAGCAGTAACTTAATATTAAACTTCATTTGAAGTTAACTGTGTTTTATTTTTAAAAAATTATGGTACTAGATTTTTGTTAGTTATGGCGATCAGTTTTTAATTCTTTTGTTTACTGCTTTTCATTTTGCTTTATGATTTCTGTACAATGATTTTGTGTGAATAAGAAAACATTCTTCTTCTAATTTCTTCTGTGAGATTAGTAAGGTTCAATTTGCTGTTTCAGTTTTCTAGCTTCCTGCACACGTTGGATTCACTGGGTTTCTAATTAAACGGGCATTTCTTGAAGCTGGCTTGTAGGAGATGCTGAAGCAAGGGCTGTAGAATACGATAGATCCATTTCATGGAGCTGGCTTGTAAACGACGCTGAAGCTAGGCTTGTAGAATACGCTGCATGGATCCATTTCTTGCTGCTGGATTGCAGAAACGAATCTAGATTTTTGTTAGTTATGGTGATCAGACTTTTCATTTTGCTTTAAGAAAATATTCTTCTTCTAATTTGTTCTGTGAGATTAGTCAGGTTCAATTTGTTGTTTCAGTTTTCTAGCTGGAGGTTTGTTCTGATACCTGGCGTGTAGAAGATGTTGAATCCATTTCTTGCTGTTGGGTTGCAGAATGAATCTAGTTTTTCTTTTGTTCCAATTATGCTGAAAGAAGTTTCGCATTCTTCACAACTGATGACAAAGCAATCAAAATTACACAAACTTGCCAAACCAAAGCTTTCATCTCAGAACTACTGAAATTAAATTTTAGAAGCCAACAAGAAATCTGGGAGTACGATAGATCCATTTCTTGCTGCTGGGTTGCAGAAACGAATCATGATCTTGCAAGGAAGGTCCCTCTTTCATCTTTCCAAAATTCGATGGAATACTTGCATGCATAGCTCAAATTTGTTTAGAATTCTATGATAAGTAAGGCACAACCACATACCTTGTTGTCGGCAGTTGCTTTGATTCCCTGCTGAACTTGCTTATAAATATTCTCCTGCTCTTCTCTCCCTCTCCATCACTCGGACTTTGATAAATCTTACCAGTAACATTCTGCAAATTGTTCTCGATCCTTCTTCAGCAAAGCTCAAAATGGCGATGATCTTGGATGCTTTTATGAGCAAATTCTCTACTTTGCTCACTGATTTTGTCCATGATCAGGTGATCATGCTGCTCGGTGTGAAGGATGAGCTTCAAATGCTACATAACAAGATGAGGAGAATCCAATGCCTGCTGAAAGATGCTGAAAAGAAAAAGTTTAATGAGTCATCATCCACCGAACTCTGGCTTTCTGAGCTTAAGGATGTGATGTATGATGCCGAGGATATCATTGACCTCTGCAGAATTGAGGGCAATCAGCTACTCGCTAATCAAAATCCCAAATCTAAATCTTCTTCGGTATGTTGCGATTTCTCATCTGCCTTTCTCTCCTGTTTCACCAGTGTTCCTTTCCGTCATGAGATTGGAAACAAAATTAAGGATATTAATGAAAGACTCGAACATATATATGAAGACAGAAAACGTTATAAACTAGAGAAATCCATGATATCCAAAACCCCACAATTTACTCTACCTGATTATCGTAAAACTTCTTCCTTGGTTGATTCTTATGTTGTGGGAAGAGAGGTCGAGGATGTAGCAAATAGTTTGGCTGATCGTTTGGTTGGGGAGAAGGTTGATGAAAAATGCTCTGTTTTTGTTGTTACCGGCATGGGCGGGATAGGGAAGACAACTCTGGCTAAAAAAATTTTTAACCATCCAAAAATTCAAACCTATTTCAATAAAAAGGTGTGGGTTTGTGTTTCAGAGACTTATGTTGAAACTGAGTTATTGAAAGAAGTAATAAGAGGGGTCAACCCGAACTATAAAGACGCTATCACTAAAGCAGAGCTGGAACCCATTCTTAGTGATTCTGTTGCTTTAGCTCAGAGCCTTTTTCTTGTTTTAGATGATGTCTGGAGGGGGAATGTGTGGGATGAATTGCTTAGAGTCCCGTTGCAGCAATCTAACGTGAATGTCAAAATATTAGTCACAACTAGATATGAAAATGTTGCGAAGGAGATGAAGGCAGGCATTCATCATGTGAATCGTCTTTCTGAAGAGAGCAGTTGGGATATGCTTCGTAGGCGGCTTTTCTCAGAGCAAGAAGAGGAGCTAGCGAATGACTTGAAGGAGCTAGGATTAAAGATCGTAAACAAATGTGAAGGACTTCCTCTTGCAATCAAAGTAATTGCTGGAGTTCTTGTCACAAAAGAACGCACTAGGAAAGCATGGCAAATTTTTCTTAAAAATTATGCTTGGTCTAGTAGCGAGCTTTTCGATGAGCAGATAAGAGGAGCCCTACGCCTTAGTTTTGAAGATTTACCTTCACATCTCAAGCAATGTTTTTTATACTTCTCTTTATATCCTGAGGATGCAGAGTTAGATCTGGAGGAGTTTGCTCTGCTTTGGGTGGCCGAAGGATTCGTAACAGAGCAACAAGATACATTAATGGAAGATTTAGC